TTGTTCCGTCCACTAGCGGTCCTACGTCAACCTTCTGTTCGTGCCCCTAGGCACAGATCCTTCTACTTTTTAAATTAATTTATCATAATCAATAACAAAAAAAATGGCTAATTAAAATCATTTGTCACTAGCTATAATTTTCATGTATGACCACACATAAAACTTATTGAATGGCGAATGAAATTAATTATGTGTCTCACACATAAATATTATTTATGACATCACATTGCAAAAATTTATGTGTGAGGCACATAATCGAAATATGAGCAATTTTCTCAGTGAACTTGTGCAACTTCGGATGTTGGCTCGGGTTGTTTGTGGCGTCGAAAAGCGGTTTGAAAATGTTGTCCAAAATCTGCTGGAACGAGCTCATCCGATGGTTGGTCTTGAAGATATCACTGGAAGATAAATTTGGTTTGTTAGAATCGTATTGCTTGAAACAAAGTACCTCTCCACTCAGTAGCTTACTGAAGTCTAGGACTTTGAATCAACCAGCGGATGTTTTTAGATTACACGTTTCTGTCGATGGCCCACTTGGCCAGTTTGTACCACTGCACTCGTTCGGTAACTTGCCGTAGTACGAAAGGGGCAGTTCAGCGTTCTGGTACATGCTTTCCTCAAAGTCGCTAACCCTCCCCATGGACATGGAGGTTGACGGTACTGAAGCAAAGGGTTATGTTGAATTTCTTTATATTTGCTTTATCGTGAACAATCTACGGGCACTAAAACCACAGACAAACAGACATAACACATTGAATGTTTCTCAATATAAAACATCGTCGCTAAAACATTACCACCATCTGTTGAGTACACTGTGGTGGGTAGTACACTGAACAGATGGCGGTAGTGTGTAAACGTCAAACTCAAGGGAATTGACTATGCGCGCCACAGGTGGCGGTACTACCAACTACGATACTTTTAAATTGACCGATAAATGCTTGTTTGATGAACAACTTGCAAGTGTTATGTCTGTTTGTCTGTGCTAAAACCATAGAGGTAACTCTAAGACCACTGGGTCCCGAAGAAAATCATTATTATTTTTGGCTCACTCAGTACCAGAACAACGGTCCCAAGCAGTCCCAAGCTATTTCACTCACCCCTGCATGTTCTGCATGAATCCACACACCCCTGATGTTATCTGTCAAACTTTCATAGCGAATCAAAACAAACATAGTGTAGTAATAGAATTTCAACTAGAATAGGGTACGTTAATCGTTTGCTTGGGACCAATCCAGCTTTCCATGCTCGGTAATGGCGGCCTGTTTGTATGAATAAATGTATCCTTCACTGTGCTTTTTGACACTATCTGGATGTTCGGGTTTTGACCCCTCCTTTTCCCTCTCCCAGGAACAGAAGAAAATGGAACAACATACGCCCTCCAGTTAGTGTCAAAAAGCACAGTGAAGGATACATTTATTCATACAAACAGGCCGCCATTACCGAGCATGGAAAGCTGGATAGGCTACCCTAATAAAAATTGTATGGTTAATTTGCTTAACGACGTGTTCTGGGTATCATCCAAACCATTTGTGGAATAGTTCAATGATTTGGGTTATCGTTCGTTTATGGTTATTTTTTATTAGGGTACTAAAGTGGTGAGCCAATTTAAAATCGTTAGTTTCGTACTGAGTACTGCGGACTCACTCAAGATGCTTGTCACTTGGGAGCCAGTGTGAACTGTCAAGCGGGAGCCAAACATTCAGAAGCAGCAAATGCAGTTACTGTTCTTATCTACCGTCAAGCATTGTAATCTCATAAAAATGATTCATACTTTTTCATAACACATTCTTATTTTTAAGCTCAAAGATAAAAACCAACAGGCTTAGTGATGAAAGTATAAAAACCAGCATAGTTTTTATGAGGCAGCTGAGTTTTCAATTACAGTAAAAACATACTTTGGCGAAACATGTATGTAAACAAACTTTGATAGAGTCATGGGGGCTCGAGCACTCCTGGCTCAGAGCTTTTGGCGGGAACCAACTGAGAAAGAGCAAATCAATTTTAAACTTGAGAAAATTTGCAAGCAGTTTTCCATTGGCTTGCAAAATAAAATTGGTCGACTCCGCAGTACCCAGGTTTCGTATTGATTGTTGCTAAAACATTCGAATCAAACGGGAACGGAACGGGTAGATATTTTTTTGCCACATGAAACCGAAAACTTTTTTCTCGTTCGCTTTTTGGTGACACTCTCCGTGATATGCAAAGGGTGTAGGGTTAACTACCCCATTTTCGGCCTATTAAGCACAACCCGCACTTAGTATTTCTTAATCTAGCGCAGTTTATTTTTTTAATTTATTTATTTAATTTGTTTTTCTTCGTCGGACTTAACGTGTCTAAATGAAGCCTGATGGGGAAAACACAGACAAACAGACATAACACTCGCAAGTTGTTCATCGAACAAGCATTTAACGGACAATTTAAAAGTATCGTGGTTGGTAGTACCGCCACCTGTGGCGCGCATAATCAATTCTCTTGCGTTTGAAGTTTACACACTACCGCCATCTGTTCAGCGTAGTGCCCACCACAGTGTATTCAACAGATGGCGGTAATGTTTTAGCGACGATGTTTTACAGTGAGAAATATTCAATGTGTTATGTCTGTTTGTCTGTGGGGAAAAGCCTAGAAAATGCGTAAAAATCCCATATCTTTTCGAAATACATGAATTACAATAATACAATACAATTACAACGAACATTTATCAAGTCTATAGCATAAAAAACATTATCCTCCTATGGCATAGAGTTATCCGTGAATCAGGTAGAAGTGCTCGTCATGCAGTTGAACCGGAAACAAAAAAATAAACAGGTAACACAATCCTTCGCGTGTACATAAAATGGACAGCTACTCACCTTCTCAGGAGTATGCGTTGAATACGGTGACGAAAGGTTTCCGCTGCACAGCTAAAGTCGAAAAACTCGTAAAACTCGTTGAAACGCCCAGATATGAACCGTATTGGGTCATGCAAGCTGTAGTTCGCAGCACGAAGTCCAAGATGAAGGAAACTCCTCGATCGAAGAGCTCGTTTGGGTGCGTAGATTTGAAATTCAGCCAAGATTCCTGGAGAGTCGATATCACCAATAAGTGCTTTTGCTGCGAACACGGCCTGACTAATCGTCCGCCTATGTTCTAGTGTTTCAAGACCCAGGAGTTGACAACGATCTTCGTACGGCGGAAGGTTCATAGGGTCAATCCAAGGAAGGTGACGAAAGGCATACCGAACAAATTTCTTTTGAACAGATACAATCCTCGCCATCCAAACTGCTTGATACGGGCACCATACTACCACAAACGAAGTGACAGACGGAGCGGCTCGAAAACTTTGGTGACTAACCTGCTATTTCAATTTTTCAGTGTACCACATGGCAACACCACTACTACTGGATTGTACCACATGGCAACACTACTACTAGATTGAACTAGCATTTTCACCAAATGTACTAGAATGTTTTGGTTCTATCTCTTTCACTCTACTCAAAACTGAAATGCATGAAAAAATGACAAAATGATACGCACTCTTTGCACACTGTCAAAGAATCATTGTACACAAAATCAACTTTGTTCAAATCAAAACAAAAAAACTAACCCATCTGGTGGATGATGGCACAAGCTTCCAAGAAAATTCTATTGCAGTGAACCACATTATTTAAATGGATTTCTTCGCCAGTTAGTCGTCTGTCACTTCGTTTGTGATACTACCGAGCTGAATTCCAAGATCGATCGCACTAGAGAGCAGTATAAAGCTTTTAGACAGGCAGGGTCGCGAAACTCGTCAGAGATCTTGAAAATGAACCCGAGTTGCCTGTTAGCTTTCGCAACGATGCCCGAGTAATGAAGCTTGAATGTTAAGGCGCAGTCCAGTGTGATTCCTAGGTCACGAACATTGTCCACACGTTGCAGAAGTTGGCGATTTATCTTATAGTTGAATGCCACTGGTTTCAGCTTGCGATGAAATGAGATAATATTACATTTTTGTACATTCAACGTGAGATAGTTTCTTGAGCACCACTCTTCGAAAGTATCGATTAGGTCTTCATTCCTTTATTTAACGTCGGTCTCTGTTCCACAATCCAGTGCCAATCACCGACGGACATCGATTGCCATCCATTGACGGCAATCGAATGTGCAGGAAGGCAGCTTCCACACCTGAGTAGCACATATCGCACCCATTCAACACACATGGACCGGGACCAACGGCTTTGCTTCCCTTGCGAAGGAAGACGTGACCAGAGATTTTTATGCCTCAGAAAAATCCCACCGACCTCGGCTGGGATTGAACCCAGACCCATTGGGGGTGTTAGAAAGCAGTCACACTTACCACTACACCACCGGCGCCGGCATCGATTAGGTGCTGAAGCCGCAAGCAATCGGCGAAGTTACGAACAATCACATAGATCTTAACATCATCCGCGTATAGAACGATCGGCAACCAATTGGGAGGATCAGTCCGGATCTTGGATCATATTCCACGTGCAATCCAACGATAATGAATTAGAGCAAAGGGTCTAATTTACTTCCATTCGAGGACTTCGAGGATGGACCAGCCACACGTGTTACTTTTCCATTGTAAAGAATTATTGTCATATTGAAGTTGTCACAGAGGTCACATCAAAGTAGAACGGTTGTCATCATACAGATCCCCCCAGTCTGTACCGTGGGAATTACAATCTCCCATAATCAACCGTGGACTAGGAAGAACTGAACTGATATCTGAAAGATGTTTTCGGTTAACCGAAACTCGGGGAGGAATATACCCAGAAGCAATACAAAGGCTCTTACGTTTAATTATAGCCTGACATGCGACAACTTGAATACCTGGAAATTGTGGAAGATTCACTCTAAAGAAGGTATGGCACTTTATGATCCCCAAAAGCACCCCTCCTTCACACGAAAAGAGTTGATTTTCCAGGTAATTTTCGGGTAGTCCACACCCCTACGTTATGGTGGCTTTCTTTCCTTTTCTAAACCGAGCAAAAGAAAAAAGTTGTCCTCCACTAAATTGTATACTTTTAACTTACGGCAAGGTTTGTTTTCGATTTTTCAAGCAATCTCTATTGACGCGGTTCATTTTGTCATCGAAATATTCGGCTTTCTTCATTTTCACACCTCGACATTTAGTGAGACAGAGATCCTGTTGAAAAGTTACGTATACAACTAGATATTAATCAAAATCATGTAAAAATATATACCTCCAGATATTGGCAGTTTTCCACGATGCAATAAACTGCCGCATTCGTTAGGGAGCAGTCCTTGAACAAGTTCAGGATTTCCAGCTCTCGCAGCATGGTAGCTACAATTCTAGCTGATTCGTCATCAAAGTTCCTGCAGTGTGAAGCATTCAACCAGGTAATATTTGGGCATTGCCTGCACAATGCTTCCCAACCCACGTTGGTAATCCGGGTACACATGGCCAAACTGATGCTTTTCAGTGCCGGATTGTCAAATGCTCCTAGCGACAAATCCGTCACTCCATCGCACTTTTCCAGCACCAGATCTTTCAGCTTCCTTAAACTACTTATTCGAGTCGTTCCCAGAAAAGCCCTTTCGGTAACTTGCTTACATTTGCTGAGATCAAGGCTTTCGAGTTCCGGTAACGATAGGAAGATGAGTTGAACCGTTTCATCGATGACGGCTTTACCACATTCGCTGAGGTTGAGTGCCTTCAGGTTCGGGAAGCTGATCGGTATCTGTCGAACGGCTGGCAATTGAAGTTCCTTGTAGCATATGCCCAAGGACTTGAGATTAGGCATATAGATCTGATCGAAACAGTGTTCCGTCAGAGCTACTGTGTTGCGGTTTTTGGTCAAGACTAGATTTTTCAATTTCCGTAGTTTCTGAAGATTCTCCAAACCACCATCGGAGTTGCGTGACATGTCATAGTAAAATTGTTCCAACTGCTCCAAATTGTCACAGATGGCCCTCAGGTACTGATCGTTACTGGCATCCAGGTTGGATTCAATTGCAATTTCCAGTTTCTTAATTTTCCTTTGTTTTTCCACAAAAGTATAGAACACTTGATCATCTTTCCGTAGCTTCAATTCTCCGAAAACGACCTTCTCCAGCTGAAGTTCGTCATCATCAAACAGAAGTTTTTTCAAAGCAGGATCATTGAAACTGTCCGCCTTGAACGACTTCATAGTTTTCTTGTGGTGCTTAACCATTCGAGCTACTGCTTTCACTTGCTCCCACAAGTCGCTATCTAGGTCACCAAACATTTCATTAACGAGCAGTTGGACCTTCAATTTGGCCAAACAGCACTGATTATTTGCCATATTGTAGTAGATATGACCCGATTCAAATCGCTGAATTTCGTCCTCGGGATATTTGAAGTTAAATTTCTTCAACTTCGACAACTGAAGTGTCTGACCCGTATCGTCCCCAGCAAAGATGCACTCTTCCACTTCCAGGCTCATGAGGTCAGGTATCATGCGAAGAAATTCGAAAAGTCTGTTACGTTCCAGGTGACATTTACAGAAAGACAACATCTGCAGGGAGTCGGCGAATTTCGATAGCAATCGACGAAGTTGACCGATAAACCTGACATCCTCGTAGATGACATCCTGGCGGCAGAGGTTACGCTTCGATTTGGAAACGTCGTAGAACGGAATGGACGTGAAGCAGATATTTTGATACAGGCATTCACTTTTGAGGAACAGTTCAATCGTGTCCGGTGTGAGTTCCTTCTTGAAGTGGACCGCCATCTTGGACAGGAACGATGACCGTTGGTAGACATTGTACCAAAGGTGGCAAACTGCCGACGCTTGCTTCAGGTCACTGTAGCGGAGGTTTTTGAAGATTGTCTCCAAAATCTGAAAGTTGTTGATTCAACAATGCATTAGATTCTGAGTTTCCTCACTTTTTAGTCAAGTTTTTTTCATTCATTGTCGTACAGCAAGAATGATTTTATTGTGTTTATATTCATTCGAAAAATAGAGGTGTGGTAGGACCTATTGATAATGTTTGTTGGTCCAATAATCTGGAAGATTTTTTTACTGTATACGGAATAACTGACGTGCACATTAACTGATAAAATATAATTTATTACTTAGCTAAAATACACGCGACTTTCTACTGACGAGTTAAAACGGAAGTCAATCCTGGATAATGACTGATAATAACTGAATGGAACTTTTTGAATATTTATAAAACTTCGTTTTGATTTTTCTAAAAATATTGTGGACATCGAACATAAAAAATAAATCAGTTTTTTTCCTATTTTTCGAAAGACTGGACTAAAAAAAGGTCGATTTTTTTATGATGCGAATATTTTTAAATGTAAATTTTGTCAAGAATCTAAGAAAAACACAAATTTTCTTGGATTTTTGATATATTTTTCCAATATTTTTGGAAAAATCAAAACATGCTAGAAATATTATTATTTTTTGGCGGTTAACTTTCTCTTAATTGATGAATTCGACAGTGAGCATTCATAAGGGCGTATACGCGATGATCGATTCTCTTCATCGATTTTCTCTTTGCATTGCTACAGCTAAGCGAAACAATTTTCTAGAATTTGTTCAATGCAGAGTTGTAACAGGTTGTATTGGCTATCAAAAGCAACAGCAAACGCACCGAGAAACGGTAGTTCTAGCGAGTTATTAACAAAAGAGATAATCGACGAAGAGAATCGATCATCGCGTTTACGCCCTTATGCATGCTCACTGTCGAATTTACGGTACGGTCGACCAGCAGGTGGAAATGATGTGAAAATGATAATGACGTTTTGCTACCTGTCAAATTGTATGGAATATTTTTTAGTACATCATCAGTTATGTAACTGCAAATCTGAAAACTAGGTGTCGGATGGGTAGTTTTACCTTTGCGTAAATTCATCAGATAAGAAAGAGGGATTGACAACCTCCCTACACTTCTTTGGCTAATTAATACACAATCAATTCGACAGTGAGCATGCATAAGGGCGAATACGCGATGATCGATTCTCTTCATCGATTTTCTCTTTGCATTGCTACAGCTAAGCTAAACAATTTTCTAGAATTTGTTTAATGCAGAGTAGTAACAGGTTGTATTGGCTATCAAAAGCAACAGCAAACGCACCGAGAAACGTTAAATCTAGCGAGTTATTAACAAAAGAGAAAATCGACGAAGAGAATCGATCATCGCGTATAGGTCCTTATGCATGCTCACTGTCGAATTGGTGAATCTACGCGAAACTGCACCAGTGCATGCGACACCTAGGTTTGAAATCCAAAACCACAAAAGTGATGATGTACTAAAAAATATTCTATACGATTTGACAGCTAGCAAAATGTCATTATCATTTTCACATCATTTCCATCTGCTGGCCGACCGTAACGTAGATTCATCAATAGAAATACTCAGAGGGAGAGATGGGCGGAGAAAACAAAATACAATTCAGCAGCAGGGATTTGTACCTAAATTATCTTGCAAACATGCTAGAAGCTGGCAATTCACATGACTTTTACTTTTGATTCGATTTACGTCCAAAATAATAATTGATGAATCTACCACAGACAAACAGACATAACACATTGAATATTTATCACTATAAAACATCGTCGCTAAAACATTACCGCCATCTGTTGAATACACTGTGGTGGGTAGTACGCTGAACAGATGGCGGTAGTGTGCAAACGTCAAACGCAAGGCAATTGACTATGCGCGCCACAGGTGGCGGTACTACCAACTACGATACTTTTAAATTGACTGTTACATCACAGACAAACAGACGTAACTCTTTGAAAAACTTGTTCTTGAAAACATAGTATCTCAAAACATATAACCTCAGTAGCGACATCTCTCTGGCTTCTCGCGGAAAACAAGCTGGCTCAGATTTTGACAGTTAATTTGACTCAAAACATTATCTCCGCCCATCTCTCCATCTAAGTATTTCTAATAATCAATAAGCATGAAAAAAGTGTCTTACCTCAACTGGTAACATCTCCATGGCGCTTCGTCACACCTTCGAAAAAGCTATAATTGTCGTAGCAGTTGAGTCTAATTGAATATGAAATTTGAATAACATTTTTTAAAGATTCTTATTGCAAGTTGCACTTCACGGTGAAAATGAATTGAATTACTCACGGTGACATGATACTCGTGGTCACTATCACTTCACTTCATTTTCACCGTGTTATAAAGACCAAAATGTTTAATAGCGGCACTTATTAGGAGTGTCAGCTCACCTAATGACCATGCATTTACCGAGGATTTAATCAGCGGCCTTATTGGGGAAGTCGAAACGAAGCATTTTTCATTCAACAGTCGTTTTGACTTGGTTCCATAATGAGGGCCCAGCCGTTGAATATTTGAAAAACCTCACCCCAATGGAGATGCTCTAATTTTACCTCCAAAATTCAATAAATTGCTTTACGAAAAATCGACACTCATTTCTCAGTGGAAAACATACCTACCTACTTATTCGTTATTGGCAGTACCATTTACCTCCGTTCAACACCGCATCGCGAGCTATTTCACATAGAAAATTTAAATTTTGAATCTGCAAACACTTCAAATACCGCGACCTTGAAACATTTTTTCGTTTTGTTTACTACTTTCAACTGCCCACCGATTTTCACCTAAACCCTCATGCCCAGTGAGCACTTTCTTATTTATGCCACCGTGGAGTTTGACAACTGTACGGCAGCCGCCCGCTTTACATGCTGTCAGTGACCTCAACCCTCACCTCATTCGTCCTTTTGCACTCATCGAAATCGAATCACTTTTGTCCAGATCATTCATTTTTTTCCATCGCAGATCGCATCGGTAATACGGAAATTTTTGAATACGGCGAGATAATAAGGTATATTTGTGACAGAAAACGAAGTGTAATTTAGTGCTAAAGACCGGTACCGGTATCGCTTGGTTAGGAATGTGGTCTAGCCGGGGTAGAGAAAGTGGCTGGCTGCTGCTGGTGCTGTCGGTGTGCAGTCTGGGGATTCTAGTACTGACGGAGCTGCCTCGTCCGCGGGGGGTTTCGATTTCCCGAGCCAGCCTCTATCCGGCCGACAATGGGGGTAAGTTTGTGTGTTTGGACGGACGGAAAACGATTCTGTGGGAGCAGGTAAACGACGATTATTGTGACTGTGATGATGGCAGTGACGAACCCGGTACGGCTGCCTGTCCAAATGGAATGTTCCACTGTACTAATGCCGGGTACAAACCGATGAATTTTCCGAGCAATCGCGTGAATGACGGTATTTGCGACTGCTGTGACGCTTCGGATGAGTATGCGTCGAGGGCCAGCTGCATCAACACCTGCAGCGAACTGGGGAAGGAGGATCGGATTCGGGAGAAGCAGCGAACTGAGATGGCCAAAATGGGTAACCAACTGCGAACCGAAATGAGTCAGAGGGGAAAGGCCATTAAGGAAGAGCAGCGCGTTCGCTTTGTTGAGCTGGAAAAAGCCAAAACGGAAGCCGAGGCACTTCGGAAGGAAAAGGCTACCATCAAGGAGGACGCCGAAGCGCTGGAAAGTGCCGCATTGAAGGTTTGTATTGCTTTATTAGATTTGCTGAACTATAGACGCTAACTAATAGTGCACGATTTCTCACAAGGTCTACCGCGATCGCGAGGAGGAAGCCCGTAAATCGAAACAGGACGAGGAAGCGATGAGCAATCGAGAGGAAGCGGTGGACATTTTCCGCAAGTACGATTCCAACCAGAACGGCTTGCTGGAAGTGGTGGAGTTGCAGACGCGTATCGTATTCGACCGAAACCGAGATGGAGCGGTAACGGTGGATGAGGCTCACTTTTTCCTGGATAATAACGATCAGGTCGATTTCGAAACGTTCGTCACGTTGTGCTGGCCGAAGATCAAACCGTTTCTAATGTTGGATTCGGGACTGTTCAAACCACCTAGCGATGTGAATGAATTGGAAAAGGATGAGCGCGAAACTGGTCAGTACGAAACCGAGGAAGCAGAACTGCAAAACGAACATGACGAAGGTTACGATCTAGATGGAAGTGAGCCGACTCAGCACTACCACGAAGAAGAGGGGGCAGCCGATCATGAAGAGGAAGAGGAAGACGACGAAGGGATGGACGACCAGGAAGTCGGTGAAGGGCAGGTTGAGAATGCCCAGGAGCCTAAAGTGGAATACGATCCGGAAACGCAGGAACTCATCCGCAAAGCCAACGAAGCTAGAAATCATCACAGCGAAGCCGATCGTCACGTGCGCGAAATCGATCAGGAAATGAGAAAGATCGAGGACCTGCTAAACAAGGACTTTGGAAAGGATGAAGAATTCGCTCCTCTGAATGGGGAATGCATCAATTTCGAAGACCGCGAGTACATCTACAAGCTGTGCCTCTTCGACAAAGCCATTCAGCAGCCCAAGAGCGGTGGCGCCGAAACTAGGTAGGTTGCATTTCCTCCACGTTTGGATAGACATAAAAATCGTTTTGTTTTTCGTACTTACAGATTGGGCACCTGGGACAAGTGGGCCAACGACGATTACACTGCCATGCTGTACGCCAACGGGGCTACCTGTTGGAACGGACCGGCTCGCTCGGCCATGGTCCTTCTGGAATGCGGTCTGGACACCAGGATTACCGCCGTCTCCGAGCCGAACCGTTGCGAGTACGAGTACCGCGCTCAGACGCCAGCTGCCTGCTCGGTGGACGATCCCAACCGGGACCAACAGCACGACGAGCTGTAGGCGGGAGAAACACAACAGTAGGGAATCATCGAATAACTACATTTCTGTCAAACAAACAAAAAATTCAATTCATTCGGCTTTTGGTCATCGTTAGAATTAGAAGAGAAAAAAAGATGAATCCCACCTAATGGGAATAAGAGAATGTTTTAAGTAGGACACGTGATTAAGTTTAAAGTTCGTTTCAATATTGTTCAACCGTAGGGCCGGCTCATTGATGTATGTATATTTGATTGACTAAATTGAGCAGATGTAGGGACTGTCGGAGTAAATTTGTCTCAGGAAAGTAAGGAAGTCTTGTTTAGACGATAATTTTTCGGTTTACTTTTGGATACACATTCCTTATTCTTTTTATCTTGCTGGAAATGCAATCATAGTAGAAAAAAAACGTGGTAATATCGATAAATCAGGTAGATGACTAAGCAAAGGAATCCTAATTGTAAGGGCGACTTCAGTGCACGATATTGGATTACACCTTTCCGATGTGTTTTACTTTTTGAATGGGTGAATAAAACACGAACATGAAAATGCTCAATTTTTTTTTGTCGAACCGGCATTTTATCACTCCCCAACTCAGCAGTAGATAGCATCTCTCCCATAATCATAATGTGGCGCGAGGCAAGGCAAGGCCATCTTGCCTAACCTTACAGCTTTTAACTCAAGTCCAGCAGACTTGGCAGCGAAAAAAAAAAATATGGGCGAATCCAGAGACATCCGGCAGTGAGAGAGTCTCCTGGACGAATTGAGCAAATTTAGCGGACCACTTTGTCAAGCAGTTTTAGTGTGACTTTCTACCAGCGATTTCACAGAACTGGACCAACTAATTCCATTTTTTTATGAAACGCACAAATGATGACTACTTTTCTCGTGGTTCTAGAAGAAAAAGTTTGAAAATAATGTTTTATTTCAAAGTTCGAATGGTAGTAAACGTCATTTAAACTACTCGAATAAAGTGGTTTAGCGGACTAATTAAATCAAGAGACCCTCTTACTCTTTGTGCGAAGAAGATTCCCAAGGTAAGTCTATAGACCTTATAAGGTTGGCGATAGGAATGTGTCGTCTCTCTCATTCTCCAGATATTCTTAATTGTAATTGTAATTGTTCAGTGTATAGGCTGTGCCAACCGCTAAGTTGGCTTATCTAGGAACTAACCCCCTAGTCTATACACCTATACTGTCCTTCCCGTTGCACTCGTCAGCTCGTGCGATACTCTAGACACACATGGGTAGGTTCGTGTCCTTCCAGGTTCTGGTACATTAACTTATATCTATGCATGGTAATTATACTTTGCAACTCACCTTTTGATTATAAATGTCGATAATGCTGAAACTATATGAATGTTAGTGATCATTATTAGGTGTGTGCTGCAATGGAGTAGTAATTGAAGGAAATGAGGTTCTCATGTGGCTTATAGGTAATTCTAAAATAGGTAAATCATGTAAGCACACACCTTTTCCAATTCTTATCCTACTTACCAGTTCCGTCCAGTATAAATTGGCTGAGTTTCCAAATGGCCTAATCCTTTCTGACTGCTTAGGTACTCTCTTACGTTTTTTCCTTCTTCCTATTGAAAATCTGGCCGTGTTCCCATTTGTTCTCAGGTAGGTAATATTGGTACATGAGGGGAAGAAAGAAATAGAACAAGTTAAGTGTGAGCCGCATGCGTTGGTTAGTCGTTTGGGTCTTGGTGTTGTGTTCCCTATTTTATTTGCTTCTATTCAGCTCTCAGATCGCCCCCTCCCCCCAAACTATTGCGGATGAGAAAAAGAACCCATATTTGGTAACCTCTCGCGAGCTGCAATGCATAAGATATGAATAACAAACAAATCTAGAACGGGGCTTAAACATATAACATTTAACATAACATTTTCTAAGACTGAACATGATTAGTATAGTATGAATAATGAGAATTGTATGCAGAAAAGACGATCCCAAAGAAAGTTCCCTAGCAATAAAACTATTACCACAAACGAAGTGACAGACGACTAACTGGCGAAGAAATCCATTAAAATAATGTGGTTCACTGTAATAGAATTTTCTTGGAAGCTTGTGCCATCATCCACCAGATGGGTTAGTTTTTTTGTTTTGATTTGAACAAAGTTGATTTTGTGTATAATGATTCTTTGACAGTGTGCAAAGAGTGTATCATTTTGTCATTTTTTTTATGCATTTCAGTTTTGAGTAGAGTGAAAGAGATAGAACCAAAACATTCTAATACATTTGGTGAAAATGCTAGTTCAATCTAGTAGTAGCACAAACGAAGTGACAGACGGAGCGGCTCGAAAACTTTGGTGACTAACCTGCTATTGCAATTTTTCAGTGTACCACATGGCAACACCACTACCACTGGATTGTACCACATGGCAACACTACTATTAGATTGAACTAGCATTTTCACCAAATGTACTAGAATGTTTTTGTTCTATCTCATTCACTCTACTCAAAACTGAAATGCATAAAAAAATGACAAAATGATACGCACTCTTTGCACACTGTCAAAGAATCATTGTACACAAAATCAACTTTGTTCAAATCAAAACAAAAAAACTAACCCATCTGGTGGATGATGGCACAAGCTTCCAAGAAAATTCTATTACAGTGAACCACATTATTTTAATGGGTTTCTTCGCCAGTTAGTCGTCTGTAACTTCGTTTGTGGTAGTAGTGTTGCCATGTGGTACAATCCAGTAGTAGTGGTGTTGCCATGTGGTACACTGAAAAATTGCAATAGTAGGTTAGTCACCAAAGTTTTCGAGCCGCTCCGTCTGTCACTTCGTTTGTGCTATTACTCTGTGCTACACACTTATGTCGTTTTCGTTTTTGCGATGTAGCTACACCGGTGCTACACTGCCGTACACCGAAATATTTTAGGGTGTAGATATAGGATGCACCATTGTTTACAAACAAATGATGTTGAGCTGTCAAAGACTCGCGCTTATTCCTGCTTACACTACACCAGTGCTACACCGCCAAAAACGAAAACGACATTAGAAATTATTACCGTATTCGGTAATTTTTTACCGAACTTTCAACAGCTGAACGTTCGGTAATCCGTTCGGTAAACGAAATGACTACCGTGCGGGACCGAAATCGAGAATCGAGAGAATCATTAACGGTCAATACTAAATAATGCTATCACTTTATGCTCTGTATCACATCTTTTTCCTATACATTTATCTTTATTTTACCATTATTTGCAAACACCAGGTCTTAAAATTACCTTTAATTATAAGAAAAAAGTATTTAAATTGCACATCTCTTGAATCAAAATCCGTACAGCGTTCTACGATTGAATCAAAATCCGTGCAATTTTGAATCGAAATCCGTACACTGTGTTGAGGATGAATCAAAATCCGTACAGTCATGAATCAAAATCCGTACATGCATGTAAATCGATCTAAATCAATGAAAAAAAAACATGTTGCTGTCTTGAATAAAGTATTTTTTTAGAAGTTGCTTGGCTAGGAGTCCAAAACATGTTTTTTTTTACGCGGTTTTTTTACACGGTTTTCCACGATTTACACGGTACGTTTTTAACGATTTCTCGACAACGATACAACCTATCGACTTGACTCCAATCACATTATCCGTTTCAAGCTATAGGTAATCGAATGGCATACTTAAAAAAAATCACAATTTTTGGTGTAAATACAGAAATTTTTAAAATATGTCTATATGGACCATATCATGCTTTAATTAAAAATGGCATGAAAATCCGATTTTTTAAAAACTTTTAAGCATGCGAAAAATCAAAATCTCGTAGGTTTTTTTTACACGGTTTTTTTTTTACACGGTACGTATCATCCCCCGTGTAAAAAAAGACCTGAGTGTATACTCGTTTAAATACACTATTTGAACTTTGTACGCTGATGGTCATTTCCCATGTAAAATCGTGCGCTGAATCCAAAAATGTAGTCCAAAAAAATCTCAGTAGGACAGTTTTTGAGATATAGCTAAAAAATGAAACATCACTTTAAAAAAAAAACGTGTTTACTACAACCACAAATACCTCCGGCTGTAATGAACGAAAAATTTCTTACCTCTAATTTAGCGTTAAAATAATTGACATTTATATTGTTGGATTCAGCGTACGATTTTACATAAGAATCATTCGTCAACAGTTCAAGTTCATTTTTTTTACTTTTATTTTTTTAACTAGTAATATCAGCGTTAGATGAATTGATGCTCCAATCGATTCAAGGGAAAGGTAACTGATTTCTTTTTATTTAAGAAGGTGACTGCTCTGGATTTTCATGCTAACTAATATCATGTTTAAGGATTCATTTCCTCCTAATTTTATTCTATACCAGTGCTTTGGGTTAAATATTATTACTAGAGCTTACCTCCGATCACAACTTCGAGGTCTTTGAAATTTGACATGTGGTAACGTGCAAGATGCGCCATACTTTGGAACTTGGGGGCACTCCAGCTCAACGCTACAAAACATTATTAACCGGGCCTAAACTGGGCGGTGTAGCTTGGACAATGTTGTCGAATCAATAATAGCAAACTGAAGAGAAGACTGCCGAAACATCTTTAATACACCGATAATGGAAACGCTCCACCAACCCACTGGCATCAAGCGATAGAATAAGCGGTTCCTAAGATGGTAGCCCTATAATGGCGGATAAGTGAAAAAAAATAGAACCATCTTCGAAACCAACAAAAAATACAATGAATTACCATCAAAGATTAGTTTTTGGTTTTGTACATGAAAAATAAAATAAACGTAAGTTAACTACTAAAACTTAATTTAATTTAAAACGTCAAGAGAGTAATAATCATAAAAATGCAGATCTTTCATTGCTTCTGTTCCGCAGCTTTCTTCTGCTTCTTCTGCATTGTTGCCATTGCTTTTTCAAGTTATAATGCTTTCTTGCTTCCAGCTTTCTTTCCTCTTCTGCCTCTTCTTCCTCCTCTTCATCTCTCGCTCAACCTTTTTCTTTTGTCGTTCCTCAATCCTTTGTTTCTTTGCGTTCTCTTTATCAATTTTCTCCTGTTCACTTTCATGTATATTTCCGGCCATTCCTCGCTGATGGCTACTGTTGGGAATGCTCTCTTGCCCATTTCTGTCTGATCTCTGTAATTTGTATATGCGTGTTGGTGTAGGGGAGCTGCGCTGTTTTCCTTTTCGGCTGGTTCTTGACGCTCTTCATTAAAAGATATTAATAATATAACATTTACAATACGAATAAAATAAGAGCGTAGCGATTCAATACGGCATCTCTTATGGTGGTGAATGGAACGGCAAAATCCCTGGATGCTTCTCGGTAAGATTTCCCAAATCCTCCGGCGTGTATTTAGCTTCCATGATCTGCTGAAAAACATTGGATAAAGTGGAGTCGTCATTGTTAATACACAAGTGTACGGATTTAGAATCAGCTGTTATATATGGATCGAAATCCGTACAGTACTAATTTTGATAAATAAATACCATATGAATGATCCATTACTTAGAATTGAGATATAAAACGATAAACACTTACATTTCCGATCGACCTTCAGGAAACTACTTGCAAAAATCACTTA